ATATTTTTTCATTGTGCATGTGTGTGTGTGTGTGTGTGTGTGTGTGTGTGTGTGTGTGTGTAGCCTCCAGGAATTTTTATATTTAAGGTTATATCATCAGAAATTATTTCACTTTATTTTTTTCTATCTACTGACCTTATTTTTTCTTTTGTCTAATTGTTCTGAGTAGGGTTTCAGTACTATTATATTGAAGTTTATTCTACTAATTAGTTGTAAGTATAAAATAACTTAGCATTAGTTTTAGAAAAAAGAACAGATTATACAGATATAGTTTACTACCTGTTGATGACATGTATAGTATACTCAACTGGATTGGTCTGAGAAGTATTTCATGATGGGTAAAGTCTTTTTACAAGCAAAATGAGAAATAGTGATTGACTGGTTAAAAAATAATTGGAATAATAATAATGATTGGGAAAAACAATGAAAAGATACTGAATGATAAAAAAAGAACAAATTTACATTCAATGATTAGAATGGTTTTCATACAATAAAACCTAAAGATAAAGCAATTATAAGTACTTCTGTTTATCAAAATTTGTCAGTAAGAGAGAGGGACTAGGGCCAGCAAGTGGCGTGGAGGTTAAGGTGTCTGGATACCATGTATTTGACTGTGTACTTCAAGTCCCAGACATGATGGGTAAAAAATCATGCTGGGCATATGTGCATGTGTTCCCCAAATTCCAGATAGGAGAATGGAGGAGATGAGATTGCAGTAGGGCCATTCCCCCAGGGGAGTGATTTTTTTTCTTTCTCTCATCCACCCCACACCTCATTCTGGTATGTACTTTCACCCTATATCAAACTAAAGGAAAAGAAAATTGATATAAGATAATCAAAATTAAAATTAAGAAAAAGAGAGTGGTACTAGAAAACCAGAGACTAGACAAGATATGTGCATTATGTATATCATGTACAGTAAGTCAAACTAGAATACAAAAAATATTGCATCGAATACAAAAATAAAGAAAACACTTAAATCAGGTCAAAACTTAAAATAACTGGTACAAAAATGGATGCTAATGAAAGGTAAATAATCTGTGAAAAAGTGTAAAGAAATATTTATTTGCTCTTTTAGCCTTAGCATATTAATAATCATAATCATGATAATACAATATAGTTTTATATACACATCATTTTTTCCAAAATAAAAAAAGACAGCATTATCATATTCTGCCAAGGTTCTGGGACATCAGGTGATGTATGGAAGACTAGTGGGAGTTTAACTGGTATAACCACTTTGGAAAAATCTTTGGCAGTATGTACTGAAATTGCTTAATTGTCTACCGTGTTCTCTGAACCCCAAATTTGATGACATTATTGTATGCATGTGTCTGCCACAGTTATGTTAGAGTTTGTTCATAGCAACAGACCTGACATACTATCTTTTTGATAGAAATAGACTGCATCATTGTCAACAGAGGAATGCAAATATACTATGTTTGTACCCAAAAGAAATAAAAATGATGGGACCAGCAGGTGGCGTGGTGGTTAAGGTGCTGGACACTCCCACATGGCTGACCACGGTTCGAGTCCCAGACCTGGTGGCTTCCTTTCTCCCTTTCCCTCTCTCTCTCTCTCTGTGTGTGTGTCTCTCTCTGGTCAAATTAAAAATAAATGAATGAATAAATAAAATAAAATAAATAATAATTCAAAAGAAATAAAAATGATATAAGGACACATAAATAAGTGACAGAAGAGTAAGAATAAATTCCACAAACCTGATGTTGAGCCCCATCCTAGAGAGTCCACATCTTTTATTATTTTTTTTTTCTGTATATGAAACAGATAAATTAGCAGTATTATTCTGGTGCTATGGGCATAGTAGGTACACTTATAGGAGCAAGTATTATAGTTTCGTTGGGCCTGTATCTGCAGTACCCTCATTACACTCAAATCTTGGTACTCAGATCATGGGATTTGGAGAGAATATTTTAGTCGCATCTAGCAATTGCGCTCTGGGTAAAGACTTGAGAAAATGAAAAGTGTCAGTTATCTCATGCCAGATATTTTATTATTATTGATCTGATCTGCGGGAGAATCTAGCTACCAAAACAATAGATGGGCAGGTTAGTAAATATTATGTACGCATTATATTATTAAATATGACATAGAATATCACATTTTGTGGAGGTACATTTTCACATTCTCATATCTCTATATCGTATTTTTTTTTTAAAGCTTTGCCCAGGACTCGAACCGCAGTCATAGCCATGTGGGAATCCAGCCACCTTAACCTTCACACCACCTGCCGGCGGCACTCTATATTGTATTTTAACATTTTCAAAGAACAAATAAATAAATAGCAAAAATTTGTAATGGAAAAAATCTATCAAAATTAACATTATTATTTTTAAAAGAATTTTAAAATATTATTATTATTATTTAATTTGCTACAGGGCATGTGCCCCCACCATGATGGGGGAGGCAGAGAGAAAGAGAAAGTGAGAAAGTTAGCTGCCAAGTCTGGGACTTGAGCCACAGTCAGACATGTGGAAGTCAAGTACCTTAACCACCTCACCACCTGCTAGGACCATATAATTAACATTACTTAAAAGCAAGGAGTCTCTTCAAAAATCTCAGACTCATCACTAGATCTAATGGGACTAAATCTGGGAAATAATCTCAAAGTGAATCAGGAAATTATTATTACTATTATTATTATTATTATTATTTTGGAAAGGTTTTTGCTATAGAGAGCATGCGCTCGCCAGACAGACAGAGAGAGACAGAGAGACAGAAAGCGAGACATCACCCCCCCCCAAGGGGGGATGGCCACGCTGCAATCCCTTCTCCTCCATTCTCCTCTTGGTATCTTGAGCACACACGCACATGGGCCCGGTGTGAGTTTAAGCCACCAGGTCCAGGACTCGAACCGTGGTCAACTACATGGGAGTTCAGCGACATAGCCATTACGCTAATTGCTGGTCCCAAGCAGGAAATTATTTTCATGCTTTGATGCACAGGAAAGACCCAATGCTGTACTTGAGTCTGGCAATACTGCGATTGATTCTGATATGAATGTTGAAGCGTGTTCAACTTGCTGTTGTAGATTTTCATTTTGAATACACATCAGTCAACACCTGGAAAATCTCTGAGGTCTCACTGTGATAAGACCAGAGTCCCCCTAAATATTACAGTTGACAGATACTTCATAATATCTGAGTGTCATTTCTCTAATCATTTATTTATTCAACAATCATTAAGTCAGACCTGGTTTCTCACATTCTGTACTACTGACATTTCAAGTCAGATGATTGTGGTTAGGGATGCTCTTGTTTGTGGTAGGATGCCTTGAAGCATCTCTGGCCTCTAATAACTAGAGGCCAATGTCAACTCCTCAAGATGCTTCCCCTGAGATTTTCACATTTACACATGCCTGCAGTCAGGGACAAATGTTCAACGAGATGCAAAGTGCTCTTTGTTAACCACTAAACTAGCAATTATATAAAATAATTGCTCAGGCTTTTGCGCTAGAATGTTTTAAAAGTAATCACCCCAGATTACTATTATGCTTTATTGTTTACCCCCATCAGAGCTTTCTTTGCTTCTATGGTCCAGGGATACCATCATATAAGTGGTATCATTAAACACCTCAGCATTCCCTGTAAACAGGAGTGTAGGTGAGCCACAAACGTATCCTCAAATTCTTTATCAATTTCAACTTGAGTCATTCCATTTGATCTATTCTTTGACATTCTGTCAAGATAGTACTTCACCAATTTCTATATCAAAGAAGAGGAACTGATTTTCTCTGGTCCCATGCGACAAACAAAGTAAGAGCAGATCATCACAATTTCCTTTCTGCTTCATTGATTTTTAAGCCCAGCTTTTGTTCATGGCTAGACCTAAGCAAATTCCCACTTCATACAAACAATCTTAATACATTTTTAGAAAGCCCAGGGAGAGGCAGGATGAGGCCTCAAAGGGAGACATACTCGCCATAAAAGCGGAGATAGTTAGAAACCAAGAAAAAAATCCTGAAAAAGAGATGGAATGTAGAAGTTAGTGTGGAAGAAGTTGAGGCATGTGGCCTTTGAGAAGTGATGGGACAGGTGCATGTGGGAGAGAGGAAAAGAGAGGAGTGTCCTGCACAGAATCTGACTTCCTCCAGCCTTCCAGCATATCAGACCTTGGGTACTTTGCATGCATGGCTAGCATGTATCAAGCCAATCAGGCTGAGGATTTGAGCTACAGTCACCATGTGGCTTCCAGCACCATGGCCTGACGTGCTACTATGTGGGATAACATGGCTGGGCCTGTGTTCCCATTCTTATTGAAGTGTTATTCACAATATCCAACATATAGAAACCACTGAAGTCTAAAACATATAAATGAATGAAATCTATGTTTACATACACAATGGAATAATATGACTTTTAAAAGGGGACAGTCCTGGGACCAGCAGTTAGCATAATGGCTATGTTGCTGGATTCCCATGTAATCGACTGAGGTTCGTGTCCCAGACCCAGTGGCTTAAAACTCACGCCAGGCGCATGCGCGTGCATGCCCAAGATCCCAAGAGGAGAATGGAGGAGAAGGGATTTCGGCATGGCCATCCCAACTAGGGGGGTGATGTCTCGCTTTCTGTCTCTCAGTCTCTCTCTGTCTGTCTGGCGAGTGCACGTGCCCTATAGCAAAAACCTCTAAAAAAAAAAAAATCGGGAGAGGGACAATCTTGTAATTTTCAAACACACAATAAATTTGGAGGACATTTTGCTCAATGAACAAAACTAGATATTTTTCGTTTTTCTGATAATTTTTTAAATTGTGAAAAGTGTACATTTATGTTTATTACAAATATTTGTACATTGTGAAATAACTAAATGAAGATAACTGTATATACACTACATCAGATATTGATTATTTTTGTGGTAAGAACACTTAAAACTCATCCTCTCAGCAATTTTCAGGTATACATTATATTGCTATTAACCATGGTCACCATGTTGGTCACAGTCGTAAATAGAACTATCCCAATAATTAATAGATTCCTATAGTCACCGTGATGGATAATAGATACAACTGTACAGAGCCAGTTTATTCATGCTACTCATGAGGTACCCCAGTTCTCTGCATTTTTCTTTTCTGAGTGAGAAAACATGGAATACTTGACTATTCTGTGACTCAGCCAGCTCATGTTTCTCCTGTAGCTTTGGACCCAAGCTGGTGCCTGAAAGGTTCTGAGGAAATTTCAGGTCACTGTTCAAGTTTAAGTTGTTTCCTAAAATACTGTAAGATCGCACAGGCTGAACCATATTTTTAAATACTTAGATTAACCCTCTAGGCCTATCCATCCATAGGGACACACCTGGGTAGAACATTCTACTTATTGTCCATCATGAACACTCTGCAGTTTCCTGATTGTAACTTTCTCCAATAAATGCTTTTGAGTATTTACCCTGGAAGCTTATGTCACTGTTTCTCACTTGGCCATGTCAGTAGAGTATGAGTTGCCCCTTGGGGAAACATCCCTGCTGCTGCTTTTGGAACACATTCAGCCACATAATTGGGTATGCAGAAAACTGTAGAAGTCAAGGTAGGATAAAAGAAAGTTAAATACATGTGAATTTTTTAGTATTATTTGTAATCTCCAGTTTTTCCAGCACCATTTACTAAAGAGGTTTTCCTTTTCCCACAGGACTGACTGGTAACCTTTGTGAAAAATCAGTTGGCTGTGTGTTTGAGAGTTTATTTCTGGGGTCTCTATCCTGTCCCATTGGTCTACCTGTCTGTTTCTGTGCAAATACCATGTCATTTTGATTATCACAGATTTCTAGTATATTTTGAGGTCAGGGAGTGAGATGCCGCCCACTCCACTCTTGTTGCACAGGATTGCTTTGGCAATACGAGGTCTTTTAAGATTCCAGAAAAATTGTAGGACTGTCTTCTACATCTGTGAAGAATGTCTCTACCACTTTGATTGGCTATGGAGCCAGCCATATATGTTGTTTTAATTTTTTAAGTTTATTTATACTTTCTATGAAAAAAGAGACAAAGAGAGAGACATGGAATAAATAAATAAATAAATAAATAAATAAATAAATAAAGGTGCTCCCATCTAGGCCTGAACACCATTATTAACCTCCTAGTTTCAACTCATCCAAGGTTATGGGCACATGCCTGCCAGGCACAGTTAGGAAGGTCTCCAGATATGAACTCAATTTTTCCCATGAGATCAGTCCCTTAAAGTGTCATATTTTAATGTTGCACCATAATACTGACCACATGTTTTACTGTCGTCTTCTGGAAAATAGTCATTGAGACCTCATTGCATTGTTGATTTGCATGTTCCTGGGAAGTATTGAGACTGAGCCATTTTTCACATAATTGGCCATTCATATGTGTTCTTTTGAGAAACGCCTCTTCATGAACTCAGTTCATTTTGTAATCAGGCTATGTATGTGTGTTAGTTTGCTTTTGGATTCATTGCACTTTTTATATATTCTGAACATTAGTCCCTCATTTATGAATAGATTGATTTTTTGACTGTTCTTCATGTTGTTTTTATAAACTGCTAATTGTTTTATTTGCTTTGTAGAATTATTTTAGTTTGATATGATTTAATTTGCTTTTATTGTTTCTGATTTTGAGGAGTTATCCAACAAAACTTCACAGACCGATATCTTGAATTATTTTCTCTGTTTTCTTCTAGTAGCTTTATACGTTTTTATTTAAACACTATTTTACTTTTTGGCTTTTTTAAAACAGTTTTTCTTTCTTTTCTTTTTTTTTGCATTAAATTTCTGTATAAATTCTTTTTATGTTTAGAAAGTCTGAATAGGCCCATAACAAGCCATGAGACTGAATCAGTAATAAATAACCTCCCAACAAAGAAAAGCACTAGTCCTGATGGCTTCACCTCTAAATTTAAATTCTACAAAACTTTTAAAGAATTAACCCCCATTCTGCTCAAGTTATTTCTAAAGATCCAAAAGGGTGAAACTCTCCCAAATTCATTCTTTGAAGCCTCCATCACCCTTATCCTTAAAACAGATAAGGACAGGACAAGGAAGGAAAACTAGAGACCAATATCTCTGATGAGTATAGATGCAAAAATTCTCAAAAAGATACTAGAAAATTGTATCCAATAACGTATAAAAAAATTATTCCTCATGACCAGGTAGGCTTTATTCCAGGGATACAAAGTTGGTGCAACATATGTAAAACCATAAATGTAATACACCATATTAACAGAAATAAAGATAAAAAACCATATGATTATATCAATTGGTGCAGAAAAAGCATTTGATAAGATACAACATCCCTTGATGATCAAGACGCTCAGCAAAATAGGCATAGAAAGGTTATTCCTCAACACAAAAAGGCTATCTGTGAAAAACCCATAGCTAACATCATCCCAAGTGGGGAAAAGTTGAAAGCTTTTCCACTAATAACTAGTACAACACAAGAATGCCCACTTTCACCACTCCTTTTCAATATAGTATAGGAAATTCTTGCCTATACAATCAAAAAAGAGAATAAAATAAAAGGCATTTGAATAAGAAAAGAAGAGGTGAATTTATCTGTTTTTCAGATGACATGATTGTATACATAGATGACCCAACAGTATCCATGAAAAAATTCTGAAAGTAATACATGAATACAGTAAAGTTACAGGATACAAAATCAACATACAGAAACCCATAGCATTTGTATATACGAACAGCAGGAGGACTGAGATTGAACTGAAAAAAGTAATTCCATTTACAATAGCCACAAAAAGTCTAAGATACCTAGAAATAAATCTAACCAAAGATGTTAATTTGCTCTTCTCATCTGGATACCTAATTTTCTTGACAACATTTATTGAAGATACTGTTCTTTTCCCATTGTTCTTAGTTCGTTTCTTGAAAAAGAGGTGAATATAGTGATATTTCCATCTTTCCTATTGTGTTAAATTGGTTTATGTGTCCGCCACTTTCTATTTTGTACTTTAAAAAAAAATTTCCATCCTGTTTTACTCATTTAGAGAGACTTTTGCTATAGGGTGTGTTCACTCAAGAGACAAAGAGAAACAGAGAAACAGAAAGCAAGAATTCACCTCCTAGGAGGCACGGTCATGATTCCATCTCTCCACTTCCACTCTCCTCTCAGGGCCTTGGGCACTCATGAGCACATGCCTGGCATGAGTTTGAAACTCTAGATTTGGGACTCAAACCGAGGTCGAATATGTTGGAGTCCAGTGACATAACCATAGGCCATCTGCTGGTCCCTCCATCCTATTTTATTACTGTAACATTGTAGTATAATTAAAAACTGGTAGTTTTTTTCCTTCAACTTGTTCTTGTCTGTGTGTGTTTTGTTTTCAATATCTTGAAACTTCCATGTCTTTTGTGATAGATAGTATTCATACTTTAGAATTCTTTTCCCAAGTACTATGAACCCAGACATAGAAAGACAATATTGCAAATGTTACTCATTCATAGAAACTGGAAAGTATATCATAGAAACAGATTGAAAGCTATTGGTTAACAGAGATGGATTAATAGGATATAGGTGAAAGTAGGGCAAGGTTAGTTAAAGCTACAAAATTACAGCTAAATAGGAAGAATGTTCTAGCATATTGGATATAGTTAATAATAATTTATCATACATCTCAAAAAACTTAAAAAAGAAAATATGTAGTGTTTTAAAAGCAAACAAGTGATAAATATTTAAGGTGGTCAATATGCCAGTTATACACGCTCAATCATTACATGTTATATTCTTATATTGAAACATCACACAGAAACCCAAAAATATGTATAATGCTCACATATCAATTATTTTAAAAAGCAATTAACCCTAGGAAGATTCTGGAAATCTGTTGCCTGTGAGGCCATACTGATGAAAGAAAGCAGGGAAGAAGGCCAATACAAATGAATTTATGACTTTAATGAAGATTAATAGATTTTACAATGGCACCTGCAGTACAAAAATACAACTTTGGACCTATTATGCGTCAATTGCTTTATTATTTATTTATGGATTTTTAATGAGGAAAAGAGACATTTTCCCTGGTTATCTCACTGAAATTCTCCCTTATCCCTGTAGCATTCAAGATTATGCATGCGTCTACATGTTCAGGTGTATCCTGGAAGCAAACCCACAGCCCTCACATATGGCTTCCAGAATAGTGCAGCAATTCCCATAGTACCTATGTCATGGAGGCTGGGTCAGAGGTCTATGATTAATGAACCTTGTGAATGTAAATGATCTTCACTTTTCTCACCTGTAGTGAGAAAATTCTAATGCCTTGATCAGGGCCATTGCAATCACAGAGGAGCTACAAATTATGTGGATATAATGGTCAGGCAATAAATTCCTTCCTATGTCTACTACATATTTTTACTTGAATAATAAGTATTGATATTTTTACGGATAAAAATATCTGAGACAATTTTGGAAATATAACATCAAAACTTTGGAATGCTGCAGAAACTTGGCTTAGAGAAACATTTAACTTTTGATCTAGATTCCTAAAAATGAGATGAAAGACATCAAATCCACACTCCTTTACAAATCATGGAACTACAAAAACAAAATCAAAGTAAATGAAAAGATGCAAGAATGAAGATATTAAGATTAGAATGGTTATACATAAGAGATATAAAAAACATACCAACAATAATCGGTTCTTTCATGAGATAAAAAAAACTAACAAATGCTAGACAGGCTGTCCTAGAAAATTAAGAGAAGATACATTGGTATGAAAATAAAGACATTATTACTAGCCATACAGAAATAAAGAGTATAGGAGAACTCAATGGATAATGAATAACTAATAAACTCTACTAATTGATCAGTACCCAAAATGTCAGAAAAAGCCATTATCCTGAAATAGTACTGATCTTTGCAGTTTTTTATTACTATTTCTTCTTACTTTATACATTTACTCACTATACATCACTTTGATTGTAAGTTGAATGCAGTTTTAATAGCTGGCTAAGCTTAGTTTCACACAGTGCCTATTTCAAAAATTAAACAAAGACAAATTATTGTCTTTCATTTTTTAAAATTTTCCATAGGTTGTATGTATGTATGTACTGCCTAGAGAGAAACAGAGAAAGAGGGAAAGTGAAGAAGCACCCCCTCAGGGGATGGGGCCACACTGTGATCCCTTCTCCATTCTCCTCTTAGGATGTTGGGCAAGTATACTTGGCATGTTTTTCAAACTACTGGGTCTGGGACATGAACCATACAATCGGGCATGTGGAATCTAGCCACCTACATCAATGCACCACCAGCAGGCTCATGAGTCATTTTCGATGACTTTACAACAGAATAAAACTTGGGGTGCTTTTGACTCAAAACTCTAAAAATGTGATACAGACCTATGAGATAAAACCTTAGAATGCCTGTTTCCTCTGGAACCTTTTCTGTTTTCTAAACTTTTCAAGCAGTTCTTACCAGAACTTGCCCTTGGTGCTGTGGTAGACAGGGAGGAAGGTGACCCAGACACTGCAGAACACCAGCATGCTGAATGTCAGGAACTTGGCTTCATTGAATGTGCCAGGCAGGTTCCTGGCCAGGAAAGCCACAGTGAAAGTCCCCAGGGCCAAGAAGCCCAAGTATCCCAGGACACAGTAGAAGGCGGTGATGGAGCCCTTGTTGCACATGATGATGATGTGTCTGGGCTCAGAGTGTGAGTCTATTTCAATGAAAGGAGGAGAGGTTCCCAGCCAGACTGCACAGATAATCACTTGGATAAGAGAGCAGATGGGAATGGCAGTGTTAGAAGCCCCTGATAGCAGCAGGCACCTCATTGTTCTTCCAGGCTTCATGGCCTTGAATGCCAGAATCACAGTAAGGGTTTTGGCCAGAACAGTGGAAACTGCCACAGTGAACACAGGCCCAAATGTGACTTGTTGGAGGATGCAGGTGGCTGTGTTAGGATGGCCAATGAAGAGCAAAGGGCAGAGGAAGCACAAGATGAGGGAGATGAGCAGGGTGAAGCTGAGAGCCTGGTTATTGGCCTTGACTATGGGAGTGTGTCGGTGCTTCACGAAGACCACTAAAACCAGAGCTGTGACCACAGAAAAACACAGAGTCATGAAGGCCATGGACATCCCCACAGAATCTCCAAAAGCCAGGAAAGTTTCAGACTTGGGGAGGCAATGTGTTCTCTCACTGTTTGGATACTCCTGAGTTGGGCACTTGATACACTGCTCTGCATCTGGTAGAAAAGGAAAAACCATACAATCGGGCATGTGGAATCTAGCCACCTACATCAATGCACCACCAGCAGGCTATTTCAGTCTCGGTATTTCAGTCTCAAAATTATTTCATCTCTCTGTGTGTTGTTGAAGTAAATAGTCATGTTTGTGTCAATTTTGCATACAGACAACCCCTGATGTGATATTGACATACACCTATTAGGAGTCTACATTGGTGTCAGTAGATGGCATAACAGTTACATCCCACATGGTCAGCTGCAGTTCAAGTCTCAGACTTGGTGGCTTGAAAATCATGATGGGCACATGTGCTTGTGTGCTCAAGATCCCAGGAGGACAATGGAGAAGGAATGACAGAGTGACCATCTCCCTGGAGGATGATTTCTAGCTGTCCTGCTCACTGTATAAAGAGAGTGTACACAGGCTAAAGCAAAAACCTCTAAAACATAATCAAAATAAAAACATTGAATCATCAATGTTTTCTCTTTTGGAGAGGTTTTTCTATAGGGCATGTGCACTCACCAGAGAGACAGAAAACGAGAAATCACTCCCTGGGGGGGGGTGGTGGTGGTGGCCATACCACAATCCCTTCTCCTCCATTCTCCTCTTGGGACTGGGCATGCACACACATGCACCTGGTGTGAGTTTAAGCCACTGGGTCCGGAACTAGAACCGCAGTTGACTACATGAGAGTCCAGTGACATAGGCGTTATACTAACTGCTGTTCCCATCAAGTATTTATTATTTAAGAATATTTGATGTAATTTGAACAATAAGCTATTAAGAAGTAATCTGCAATTTAACAGATGCACAACTTTGACTGGAAGTTTCACTCTCATGTAGGTATCATGCCTTCCAAGTCTTCTCATCACAGATTTAGTTATTTATTGTTTTGTGCATTTCTTTTTTGAAACATATTTTTTATTTTTCTTTTTTAAAATTTATTTTATTTTTATTTAATTTCTTCTATACATTCAATCACTATATATCACTTAGCTTGTAAAGTCAATTTTCTCAGGATGAACACTTCACATCAGTCCAGTTGAGGATACTATACACACTATCATCAACAGAAAAACAACTTCTTTGTCCCATAAATAACTTGCCTCTCTATTTCTCTCCTTAATGTCTTTTCTCACACTCTCTTCCTTCTCCCACCCTCTTCTCACACTGTATCCAGTATCCACACTAAGAGAATTCTTTTAGCTGCAGGTAACATTGAACCCATTGAAAGTGGATCTCAGCATGTGAGAGCTTTGATTGGTTCATCTTGTGACTCAATGATGCTACCAAGGATGTTAATTTATTTCAGATCTATTTTCTTCTCTCCCCTGAATTTTCCTCATGGTAAGCCTTTAGTTCCCAAAAGTTTTAAAATTGCTTTAATAGAAGAGAAATTAATGGTTTTTTGGGCCAATAGATGACTTGAGTATTTTGACAGTTGGAGCCCACATAACTAATTTTGTGGTTCAACTCCTGAACCCAGCAGCTTGAAAGTCATGCTGAATGCATGTGCTAGTATGTCCAAAAAACAACAAAAAAAGATTGGAGTAGAATAGTGGCACGGTCACCCCTTGAGAGGGTGATTTCTCATTTTTTCTCTTTGTCTGTCTCTCTCTCTGTTTCTGGTGAGTGTCAATGACCTATAGCAAAAGAAAAAAAGAAAGAAAGAAGGAAAGAAAAAGAAAGAAGAAAGAATAAGAAAAGAAAGAGAAAAAGAAGGAAAGAAAGAGAAAGAAAGAGAAAGAAAGAAAGAAAGAAAGAAAGAAAGAAAGAAAGAAAGAAAGAAAGAAAGAAAGAAAGAAAAAGAAAGAAAGAAAAGAAAGAAAGAAAAGAAAAAAGAAAAGAAAAGAAAAGAAAAAAAGAAAGAAAGAAAGAAGGGAGGAAAGGAAGAAAGAAAAAGAAAGAATGAAAGAAAGAAAGAAAGGGAAAGATAGAAAAAGAGAGAAAGAAATCAGCTATTATCTGTTGATGATAACTTGTATAGTATCCCCATCTGGACTGATGTGAAGTGTATTCATGTTGGAAAATACTTTACAAACTAAGGAATATATAGTGATTAGATGTATAAAAGAAATTAAAATAAAATATATTCAATATAAAGAAATTAAAGGTTTTCTTATTTATTTTCAGAAAAAAAAAAAACTGTACCTAGTTCTGAAGACTCTAATTTTTGTCACTACCCTGTTGGTTTCTTTTTTGTATATAACATGTTGCTTAGTACCAGGCGACTTTTCTCATTGTACTGAATTTTGTCATCACTGTTCTTGTGAATTTCTCCATGTAAATTTTGAAAACTGTTGGATTGAACTGAAAACATTGAGACTTTGGGTGAAATTTTATTGCACATATATAATTAATTTCTATGAAATTATTATAATTATACTACTAAAATATGGAGTACATATTTTTAAATTTCTATTTTCACCTTCAACCATGGTTCATTAATCCTTTTTATAAGTGATAGGTAATATTTTCAGCCTTGCACATTGTAGAGTCTGTTGCAACTATTCACTTCTCTTCTGATGTAGCATGAAAGCAGTCATAGAGCATCTGAGAATAATGGGCAGGTCTGTGTGTCTATTACATTTTATTTACAGAAATGATGGCAGCTTACCCACTAATGTATTAGCATTTTCTTTAGGTAATATTTATGAAATATCATATACTCCAAATTTAAACTGTGATTGTCTATCACATTCTTCTTGAATTATTCCAGTTCCTGCCTTCTGCCTCAGAATCATGATTGTCACACAAAAACAGATGCATGTTTCCTTCTGGGTCCCTGTCTCTGTCTCTCTATTTTTATTTGTATGTTACACACTGTTTCAAAGGCTTCATAAGGTAAACAACTAATATTTTCTTGACTTATTGTAACCTGAAAGTATCTATGGACTCTTACTAGTCATTAAAACCAAATGATTTCTACTGTTATGATGACTAGATTGCATTTTGTGAATAAATTCAATATATTGCAGTATTTATTCTTTATATATTAGAAAATGAAAGTGTGGCTTAATGAAAATGTCCACATTTTATATCTGATAATATTACATTTTGTTTTGATATATATTTTTTAAATTTGTATTTTATATAACAGCTATTATTTACAGTTCTGGATTGTGGAATTTATTAGAATGTTGTGTGTTCAATTTTTAAAAAATTTTTGCATCATTTCCTTACTATCACAAAATATTTTGAATTGTAAGGTTCTGATATTAGTTAATTTTACCACATTGGACAAATTTTAGAGCATGATTGAAAAAGTTATTAAATATCTTTGGGGATCAGCAGTTAGCATAATGGATATGTTGCTGGACTCCCATGTAGTCTACCGCAGTTCAAGTCCCGGACCCGGTGGCTTAAACTCATGCTGGGTGCATGTGTGTGCATGCCCAAGATCCTGAAAGGAGAATGGAGGAGAAGGGATTGAGGCATGGTCATCCCCCCTGGGGGGTGATTTTTCGCTGTCTTTCTGTCTCTGTCTTTCTGGCAAATGCATGCACCCTACAGCAAAAACCTCTCCAAAAAAAAATGAATAAAAAGTTATTAGATCTCTTTAAAACAATGTATCTATACTTGCTTTGTGCTTGTCATCTGGAAATATACTTGTGTCATTTTAAAACTTTATCCACATCAGAATAAACTCATACATTTATTCCATTGTTCCATAATGTTCTCTTAGTTTGTAAAACTTTCAATTGCTGTATATCTTTCCAGCATACAAAATGAATTTTCCCAGCAAGAATACACTGTGTGTTAGTCCAATCAAAGATATTACCATACACACTATCATCAACAGATAATTTTCCGTCTTCTAAACTAGTTGTTTTGCTTCCTTTTACTCCATTGATTCCCTCTTTCACACCCCTTTTGTCTCTCTCCTCCCACACTGTCTCTAGTATCCATAGTTGCTCTCTTTGGTTTTATACCTTTCAGTTTCTTTCATAGAGTGTAGACATTTGATATATATGAAGTGGGGACATACAATGCCTCTTTCATAGTCTGGCTTGCTTCACTTAGCATTAAATCTATATTCATCCACTTTCTATCAAATGGCAGGGTCTCATGGTTTCTGTATGACTGAATAATATTCTACAGTGTATATATGCCACACGCTTTCAATCCATTCGTCCATTCTTAGACAGTTGGGTTGATTCCCTGTCTTAGCAATTGTGAACCCTATAATAAACGTGGATGTGCTAAGTGTTTTTCCAACTGAGTGTACTTCTATTCTTTGGGTAGACAACAAAAAGTGGAATTGGTGGATCATATGGTAGTTCTATTTGTAGGTCTTTGTGGAACCCCCCATATTTTTCTCTATAGTGACTTTACTAGTTTACATTCCCACCGAAAGTGTAGGACAGTTCTCTTTTCAACACTGCCTGCCAACACTTACCATTCTTTATTTTTCTATTTTCATCCATTCTAACTGGGATTAGGTGATATCTCATTGTGGTTTTGATTTGCAAATCCCTTATGATAAGAGACATTGAGAAATTTTTCAGATGCTTTTTTTGTGTGTGTATGTCTTCCTGGGAGAGTTCACTTTTTGGCTCATTTGTCCATCTTTTAATATGATCAAAATTTTTTTTCATGTGAGCTGCTTGAATATCCTTTATATTTCTGTATCAGTCCCTTATCTGAGGCATATTTTGAAAATATATTCTCCCCTTCCAAGGGTTGTCTCTTCACTCTATTTATTCTTCCTTTGGTATGCAGAAGCTTTTTAAACTGATGTAATCCCACTTTTTGAGATTATTCCCTGTGCTTTGGGGGTTTCATTTAAGAAGTCTTTGCCTCTTCTGATGTCTCTGAAACATTCCTCTGTGTTTTCCACAAGTACTTTTATAGTTTGAGGTTCTATATTTAGATGCTTTATCCATTTTGAGTTGATTTTGGTTAAGAGATAGGGGTCCAGTTTTTTTTGTTCTGTTAGTGGATATCCAGCACCATTTGCTGAAGAGATTTTCTTTGCTCCATTGGGTTGTCTTATGCCCTT